ACCTGGCTATCCGCGCCCAATGGTAATTAAAATAACAAAGAGCCGTGGTGGCTCAGGGGCTAGAGGGCTCACCTCCCAATGAGGTTACCAGGGTTCAAAACTCAGTGATGACTGAGATTCGAATTCTGCACCCGACTCGTACCAACCACAATGCCGTCAAAAAATATCCTAAGTGTAGACGCATCATTGGTTAGAGTTCCCTTGCCGTCAGACTAACCGTGGGAGGTCTTCGTGGTTTTCCTCTCCGTGTAACGCAAATGCGGGTTAGTTTCATCGAAAAGTCCTCCACGAAGTCAAATTTATCCCAATTATTGATCCAGTAGTTCACTTGTCTTCTGGAATGGGTTCAAAATTACAAGGCTATGGAGTTGAACGGTAGTAGTTGTAAATCCACAATTATGTCGGCTCATCATGTCGGTTGATTCAATGACGGTTATGAAATTAAATTAAAATAAATAACCTGGAACAGCTTAGGGGATTGGATGCTCTGAATCAAGCTTAATCTTCCCAGCCCTAGCAGTATACTACTTTCGACTAACACTGATCACAGTGCTAACACAAAATAACCAGTACTAATAGATCTTGATTTAGAATTTCCGCTATTGTGCTAACAGTGTGAAGTTTTTGTGTTTTTAATTTCAATGCAATACAAACTTAGATTAGATCCATGAAAAAGTCTACTACAAATGTATGTTTCCCGTACAGCGTGGTTCAGTAGCCTTTTCTTCGAGGATGAGTTCAAAATTACAAGGTTATAAAGTTGAACATTGATATACAACCTTAAATCTGATAAGGATCTAATGTTCAACGTTGATGACAACATAAAAATAAGACTTCAGCATTTATCAAAAACACACATTTGGCGAAAACTAATCTAAAATTCCCCATCAAAATTGTTGTTTATCTTGCCTATTTTTATTTTTAAAAAACGGACTAAAGCAGCCTGATTTGGGCAGTAATATAAATCAGTCAAATCCGTTTTTGATTTTTGTTCAATAGCAACCGGTACTTTTAGAAAGTGATGATTGAAACTAATGAGTGTAAAGACGTGACGATCAATTTTCTATGCACATGTTGATCTTAAAAATAGACAAATGATAAGAAGTCTTATTTAATTCAGAATTTCAATTCTGGTGCATTATTTCAGGACTATTTTGTTATAAAGAATAATAAAATTAAGGTAATCTCTTATATTTATTCATAGCAAATAATCTTTATTAAAGCTTAGCTTCGAATTGCGTAATTACTTAACAAGGAGTTATTTCACTCTACGAGTCCATCCATTTTCTAAGATTTGTAGATCGTATCAGATCATCGTATCAGAAGACACTTATTACAATTTAATCATTTCCTGTTGAACATGAAAGAGACATAGGATTTCATTTGACAATCTTCAATGAAACATTTTGTCTTCTTAAGCGTTTTCATACGTGACTTAAAAGGTTTATAATGAAAATGATAAGCTAGGTTTTTATTATCTTACTCTGTATTGTGTTTTAATTCATGAGTAATTTTCCTTGCATTTTTGATCGAGAAGTTTAAATGGGTGATGAAATGCATGAAGAGAATGTGATTTCTACTTTACGCTGGAAAATAATTGCAAAAGATATTACTAACTACAAAAAGATTTAAATAAAAAGTAAGAAAATCAAAAGTCATAACAAATTTTAGCATAAAAAGTTTTAAATAAGTATTAAGTCATTAGAAAGTTTATATATATTTTTTATAAATGCTGAACTAAGGAATGAAGAGGAATTTACCAATCTAAACAATTTAATTTAAGCCCAAAAAATATTCCGCTTAATTTGGAAATGTGTAAAAAGTTATTAAAAATTTAATGTTTTTTTTATTTGATTTTTTTATAAATGCTGAACTAAAGAAAAAAGAGGAATTTAAGAATCTAAGCAAATTCCTCGTAATTTAAAAAAGAAAAATTCTTATACTACCCTTTAAAAAAAATTCTTTTCTTGATTGTTTAGAAAGAAAAATTTATTATGTACAACGATGAAAAACATTTTAATTTTCTTGTCATTGAGAAATATTGGAAGGTTGAATTTCACAGGTTTTCGGTCATGTCACCAAATAGCATTTATTGTTTCCTTTTTGGACTTTTATATCGAAAATAAAAGAATAATTTTCTGCACGCGCAACATATTAATCAAAAAGGACTTTAATTAGTCAGGTATATCTCCATTTGTTTTTACTTAGTTTAAATTAAAGGAACTGAACCACGTGTGTAAAACGTTTAAAATATTCCAGACACCATTTAAAGTTCTTGTTTGAACTTATCAACCATCTGAATTTTAATAAACCGAATTACGAAATTATTTAAAACTACTCAAAACACGTGTGTTTGATTGACGTCATTTTACTCTACAGGGTTAAATATTTTGGTGTATGTTGAACCTAATTAACTTGCTGCAACCTATATTATTTATTAAACTTGATAGAATGGAAATAAGGTTCAATTTAACATCTTATTAAGGTTCAAAACAAATAGACGTGATGTGAGAAAGATATCTAGAAATGTGGATAAAAAAAAATTATTGTTTATTAATTTGAAATTTCGAAAACACGGATAAATTGCGTTGGTATTTCTGTAAAAAATACATGCTTTAACATATTTTCTTAAAATATTATCACTTACTGAATTTTAAAACATAAAACAGTATACATTTTTAGAAATATTGGAGTGTGTTGAACCAAATCATTACATCNCTACCCGACTCTCCCCTACATTTTTAGAAATATTGGAGTGTGTTGAACCAAATCATTGCATCGTTCGATTTTGTTGCTACCTAGCCAAATTAGGCCATCTAATTCTTCCTAAACTATATACTATGGTTCAACCTGAACAAAAATATTTTATACCTTTTTGAAATTGTAGTAAATTTGCATTGTGTTAAGCGCAATATTGAACCTAAGATCTACCGCAAATAATAATCGGTAGGAATTTTTGTCCTACATGTCTCACTTGTTTGCCAGCAACTTTCACAAAACTAAACACTTTTATTTAAATAAAAGAAAATGGAAATAAGTGTATTATTTAAAAATTTATTCAATTATTTAAAAAAAACATTTATTTCTTCATTAGATAACTCCATTTTAAACAATTTGTAATCCTTCATTATTTTGCAACCTCAGACAGTGTCCTATAGTGGGTTAGTCAACTTACTTTTAACTTCCAAACATGTTTAGTTTAATTTTTAGTGAACAAAACATTTAATTTTTAGGTATCACTTTAATTTAACCGATAACTTTTTTAGAACTAAATATAACTGTTCAAGTTGCTAACATGCTGTCGGAGATAAAATATCACTTCCATCTAAAAATAGACGAAAATACCGTAATTTTTCTAACCACTATTTAAAATTTAATAAAACTCCTTACAACCCCTGCTACAACTTCATTTGAAATAAGAGAGGCTAAATATTATGTTTTTTCAAGTAAGGATAAAGATGAATTTTCATTTATTTATTTATTTATTTATTTTTTAAGATTTTTTACCCTGTTGAAATAAGCGAGACGAGCTAAGTATCATTAAGGGCATTATTTTTGATTTCAGAACTTAATGTCTTTTTTTGTTTTTCCTTTTTTATTCTAATGCATTATAATGCGACCTTTTCCGTAATTTTCATACACTCTGTTTATAAAGATCTAACTCTGAAATAATATTGAAAAACAAAATGAAAATAAATAAAAATTTAAGAAAATGGAAGTCATAGCTTAAGAATGCAGAGGATAATTTTGTTTTAGACAACTACTTCTATTTTAAGAATTCATATGAGCTGAAATTGAAATTTGAACTATAAATTTTCCTCATTATGAGAAATTTGCTGTAGATTATAAATGCATATTTCTCTCAGACACCGAGTAAAAAATATCCTATTTTTCAAGTATACATAAATAATATTTATTAACTAATTAGATCTTTAACCCTATTGAAATTTTGAAACAAAAAATTTTTAGTAACCTTTTGAAATATCTTTTTAATTCAGAAAGATAAAAGAGTGTGCATAATTAATTCATTATTAGTATCGATTTGAAAGAAGCAAGGAATTTGTAACAACCAATTATAATAAGTCATTAATGTCCCATACATGATGAGGTAAGTATTTGTTTTTATAACCATCGTTGAATAGCCAACCCAATTTCGGGTTTACTGCTACTCATGCTGAACTCAGTAGTTTTCTAATTTTGAACCCCATCCAGATGGCAAGGGAACTCCTGGATCGAGTATTGGGAGAAATTTGCCTTCTTGGTGGACTTTTTGCTGGAACTAACCAGCATTTACGCTACATGGAAAGGAAATCCGCGAAAACCCCCAACTGTCAGCCCGACGGCAATGGGACTCAAACCAATGATCTGTCAACCACTGAGGATATTTTGCGTCAGCACTGTGGTCGGGTGCCAACCGGATGCGGAATTCGTATCGACCTGCTATTGCTGGGATTCCAACCCGAATCACCTCATTGGAGGGCGAATGCTCCATCCCCTGAGCCACCAGGACTCTAAGCATTTGTTTATAATAACAGCAAAATTTCCTTCCTATGAAAACCATCTTTCTCTCAGGTCCTCCATCACTGGGGTCATGAGAGGAACTCCGCAGGCATACTATAGTTTGTCTAGAGTAAGAACTCCCCCAGCCGTATAGGAGAGGTTTCGGTGAATATTTTCTTCGGTGTTAGCCCTGAGTGAAGAGAAGCTACCCTCCCTGACTTTGTGGCGGAGGGAGTTCTTACTGTAGACAAACCATAATTTTTATTTTGTTACATTTTCATAACAACGAGGCCAGCATTCTTCGCAACCATTCTTTCTATATACTCTTATTCCACCCTCCACAAGGAACAGATATTGACAATTTACTTTTGTGAATGTTGTGTTCTTTTCTCGCGATCCTTGTAAATATTGGAATTTCATTGATAAGGATCAAGTTTTGTTGTTTATATAATTGTTTTTAAAATTTTTAAGTGCTGTGATTTATTGTAAAAATATAAATCTGACGGCACTGAAATTTTATTTTGGTATAATTTGTGGTATTAATGTAGACAAAAGTAAATATTTATGGATAGTTGTAAATTTTAATAGAATAAAAGTTTTATGCTTTTTTTCTTTCTTTTTTTGTAATACATATAAAGTTTTTACATTTTTGGTAAGGATTCTTTCTTGCGAAGAAGTCAACATTGAATTGTGTCATTCATGTTTTCATTTCTCACTTCTGCGTGAATAAGTCAGATAGCATCTGAAAGAGAAAATATAATACATCACTCACCATCAATAAATAGCTTTCAAGAACCTAAATTCTGGGTCAGCAAAAGCGTGACCTGTATGTAACATATAATGTAATGTAAGCATATTGGGGATCACATATCAAAATATAAGTGAGGTGAAAACAAAAGCACTTTCGAAATTAGATGAAGCACTATTGAGGACGGCAGGCATAACTAAATCCGTTTGATCATCAGAAGAAATAGGGAGACGACAATTAATAGAAGCATCTTGAGATTTCATCTGGTATTTAAGCAAGTATAGATGATTGGAAGTAAGTATCTGTGCATATAATACATCATTCGAATAAAATTTCATCATTTATTCATTAGATCAAAATTAGAATAAAAATTCGATTCATTAGACTAAAATTTCATCATTCCTTCATTTATTTATTCATCATTTATTCATGCCTTCATTTTGCTAATTCACATTTAATTGTGAACAATCTGTAGCATAAGTTTCGCCACGTCATAAATTTTTGTTTAAAAAATTACCTTTTTTAATATTATTCTGTCATATTTTCAAATTATGTGGTTAATTCTCTAAATAATATCTCTGCTAGGCTTCATGTCAGACATTGCCTCTAGGGGGGACATCTATGTCTTTGCCTAAATAATTGAAATAGATAATATAAATAATTAAAATTTTGTATTTCATACTTTATATCAAAAAAAACTTTCAAATTCCTTTCTTCCTTAATGCAGGGTCTCATTGGAGATATAGATTCTTTTGACATTCAACGATTTGTCAAAGCAATCAACAATTCTGCAATAAAATCTCGCTTAGATAATCATCCAAATCAGTAAACTATATTTTAACTATCTTAAAACTTCTTTTGTAATTAGGAAACAGTTAATTCTCTAAATAATATCTCTGCTAGGTTTCATGTCAGACATTGCCTCCAAGGGGGACATCTATATCTTTGCCTAAATAATTGAAATAGATAATATAAATAATTAAAATTTTGTATTTCATACTTTATATCAAAAAAAACTGTCAAATTCCTTTCTTCCTTAATGCAGGGTCCCATTGGAGATATAGGCTCTTTTGACATTCAACGATTTGCCAAATCAATCAACAATTCTGCAATAGAATCTCGCTTAGATAATCATCCAAATCAGCAAACTATATTTTAACTATCTTAAAACTTCTTTTGTAATTAGGAAACAGTTAATTCTCTAAATAATATCTCTGCTAGGTTTCATGTCAGACATTGCCTCAAGGGGGGACATCTATAACTTTGCCTAAATAATTGAAATAGATAATATAAATAATTAAAATTTTGTATTTCATACTTTATATCAAAAAAAAACTTTCAAATTCCTTTCTTCCTCAATGCAGGGTCACATTGGAGATATAGATTCTTTTGACATTCAACGATTTGTCAAATCAATCAACAATTCTGCAATAGAATCTCGCTTAGATAATCATCCAAATCAGCAAAGTATATTTTAACTATCTTAAAACTTCTTTTGTAATTAGGAAACAGTTAATTCTCTAAATAATATCTCTGCTAGGTTTCATGTCAGACATTGCCTCCAGGGGGAACATCTATATCTTTGCCAAAATAATTGAAATAGATAATATAAATAATTAAAATTTTGTATTTCATACTTTATATCAAAAAAAAAAACTTTCAAATTCCTTTCTTCCTTAATGCAGGGTCCCATTGGAGATATAGATTCTTTTGACATTCAACGATTTGTCAAATCAATCAACAATTCTGCAATAGAATCTCGCTTAGATAATCATCCAAATCAGCAAACTATATTTTAACTATCTTAAAACTTCTTTTGTAATTAGGAAACAGTATCAGGCATGGAATAAATTAAGAACTTTATATAATTAATAACTATTTTATTATTTCAACTTATTTTTGTTTTTTTACTTAAGGGGAAAAGTGGTTAGCTGATCCACTTTTTAGATTTGGTTTTTTATCTCTTTAAAAATTATTCTTGTAGTGTGACTTTTTTTTTAATAAGACAAATCACTTACACTTATGAAAAAAATCTTGAACAGGGTCCACCTTATAGGGCGCTTTGGACAATCTAGCAAGAATATTTATTGAGAAGCAATTATTAGAGGATAAATGTCATCCAACATTAATTACATTTTTCTTCTTTAACATTTAAGAAAAATCAGTTTTGCATTTTTAGAGATTAATAAATCTTCAATTGTTAACAAATGAAAAAAGATAATTATTCAGCTTACCTTAAACTTTCAAACTGACTTTTTTAAATTTCTCAAAAAATACTTAAAGGATTATTTCTAACTTCACAGATGCTTAGTTCATAGGATTTTTTATAGATAGCAATTCGATTTAAAATATTCAGAGGATTGAGGGATAGACAATAATAGCGTTGGCTAAAAATAGCAAAACTGAAACTAACAGTCATGAATAACTGTCAAGCTCGAAAAAATAATTTCGCACATTTGATCTTCCTTAGAGCGTTCGCTCTTCAATAAGGTGAACCAGGATCGAATCCCAGCGATGGCTGGTCGATACGAATTCAGCATCCTGCTTGTACCGACCACAGTGCTGACGAAAAATATCCTCAGTGGCAGACGGATGATGGGTTAGGGTCCCCTTGCAGTCAGGCCAACCGTGACTGGTTCTCGTGGTCTTCCTCTTCAAGTATCACAAATGCGGGTTAGTTCCAACAAAAAGTCCCCCACGAAGGCTAATTTCTCCCAATACTTGATCCAGGAGATCCCTTGTCTTCTGGATTGGGTTCAAAATTACAAGGCTACGGAGTTGAACATTAGCATTCGTAAACCCAAAATTTTGTCGGTTGTTCAACAACGATTGTAAAATAAAATGTGCTCTTCATAAGAGTTGGCTCAGGTAATAGAGCCCCCGCCTCCCAATGAGATGACTCAGGTTCTAATCTCAGAGACGGCTAGTCAATATTAATTCTGAACGCGACTAGCTCTGATCACAGTGCTGACGAAAAATATCCTCAGTGGCACCCAAATTATGTGTCATGTTTAAGATTGTAAAAAGCTAAAATGTGTATACTGCATGAAGCACCATTAAAGGTAAAATCTTCCAAACAAATGATTTTTCAAGTTTGTACTCATTCAGATCTTAGAGAAACAGTTATTTATAGTTGAAATTTCTTTAATTTACAAATCAATTATTGATAAATTCTTGAATATGAATGGAAAATCAATTTTCAGTCTACTTATTTTGTATTTTATATTTTAGTACAGACATAATTATCAGATTATGATACCGATAATTTATCAGATTTTTTTGTAACTATTAGAGTGTTTTTTATGATAAAAAGAGTTAAATAAGAGTTAATTAAAGAGTTGATTAAAGAGTTAAATAATAATGCGACATTTCATGTTCTGGGGAGTTACCGAAAAATTATCAAAACATAGGAAAAATTTAAGTGACTAATTTTCATAAGCATGTTATTGGTGTTGAAACAATAAAATCAACATATTATAAAAAACAGAAAATCGTGCTTGATATTTTAGTGATATATTATATAAAATTTTACAACTGATTTCCCAGATTTATGTTCTCAGTACAGTGTTCAAGTGATTATAATAAAAATTAAGCTTTGTACGAATTCTGTAGCATTTATATTTTACAAATGTCTTATAAAAATATGAAGTTACACATTTCTTGTTGTAAATGTAGATAATGCTGAATAAATTTATTTGGAAATCTGAACTTCATTTCTGTATGCTGAACTGTTTTTAAACGCAATGCATTTACTTTAACTAGCACTTATTTTGTTTTGATGTAACTTGTGAAACATAGAAGAACGCTAACTGCAGTTCTTAATTAGTTTGAAAGTCCACTTTTTTTGCATCTAGGCGAGTATATTTAAGGTTGTACTTAAAAGGTTTCTGCATCGAAAATAAAATTAAAACGAAATGTATACCCTTACGATAAGCATAGAATTTCTATTACTTTCTATTACATTTTGATTATTTTCTCTCCTACCGTTTTCTGCTTTGATTTTTAAGATAAGGCATTTTTATATGTACGTATCTATGAATATGGGGGCAAAATAACGAAGAACCACGCTATTTACAACGATGACAGTTTTGTATTAATCAATCTGCTCCTTATTTTCTAGATATTCAACAAGTTTTAGGAATTTCCGACAAATAACAGCGGAATGCAAAATTCTTATTGCTTTATGTAAATCTCAATATTTTTTTCATCAGACCAAAAACACTTTTCTGAACAAATTGAGATCTAAGTCCACCCGATAGATCAACCAAAATAGAAATTCTTAAAAGATATATAACCGAACTGCACGCAGTTATATAATACATTATTTTAAATTACTCCTTTCTAAATCATAATTTTTTACAGTTCTGAGGTAGGTAGGTACTTTTTTACGTCGCACTAGAGCTGCACAATAGGCTATTTACGACTGTCTGGGAAACATCCCTGAGGATGATCCGAAGAAAGCCCATCGTAATTTTGATCCTCTGCAGAGGGGATGGCTCCTCTGCTTTGGCAGCCCGGCGTCGAGCACTTTACGATAAAACAGTTTAAAGAGAGCCGATACCGCGCACCCTCGGTTCCTACGGAGACTGGTCAAAGTGGTCACCCACCCGCTTACTAACCGCAGCCAGTGATGTTTGACTTCGGTGTTGTGCTGGGAACCGTGTCTTTATGATCAGTCCACTGCGGGTCTTATATTTCTAAATTGCTACTGTTTAATAATTTTTACATTTATTTCACACTTACTTACTAAAACAGATTTTAGTACATATTTTTGTTTGACGTTGTACGCAAATAAATAAAAATTTTCGAACATCACCCAACCATGCCCAATAAGTCTGTTTTCCAAAGTTTTTTTAACAGCTACGGTAGGAATGCCACGAAGTTTTGAAGCAAGTCAGTCGACAGCTCCCGGTTACTAATCTCTCCAAACTTCTGCACCACAATCAATAAGAGGACATTTATCCAGGTTAGATTTAATGTGCATCTGCTGCATAGACACATCAATTGCTTAGTCAGTGTTCAGCAAACTACCCCTAGTTTTACAACATCTGTGTGAGCGATACATTAACCGACTGCACATCCGGGGCCTTAGAAAACTTAAGCATAATTTTTAGGCCCCAAAATTTCTTTTAGCTTACGACATCGACCTGCATTGTGCCCGGGCTGAGCTCGTCTCCTTATTAATGTGTTGGAAGAGCTGGGATGATTAAAAAGAAAACTTTTGAAATCTGGAACTTATAGTTATAGGAAATAAAAAATAGATTTTGGAGCATTTGGTGTCCCGATTTGGTCCAGATTTGGAGCATTTGGTTGGATCAGAGAACTGGCCTTGCATCAGAAGGGTTCTGGGTTCGAATTTCGGGCAAGGCATGGATGTTCTTTCATTCTCTATACTATCTGTCTCTAATGTGGGAGCAACGTTGGCCCACTTAATAGGGTGCCCCTGGAAAAGTGGCCAACAAATCTGCCCCTCAGATGTCTGTATGACGTAGGTCATTCCCCTGGCGGGCATTGGAAAAAAACATTTGGTGTCACAGGAAATGTTATCTACCATCTAAGAATTTTTAGGGATTTAACATAAAAATTTGGTAGGTGTTTCCAGATAGGGTTACAAACTACACCATCCTGCAATAATGAAATCAGCTTCACTTTAAACTTTCAGTTTTTGACATTTCTTAAATTTATCAAAAAATATTTAAAGGATTAATTTGTAACTTTAGAGATGTTTAGTTCATGATAATTTTCATGCTTAGCAATAAGATTTAAGGCTTAGAGGGGTTTGGAAGACTTACAATAAAATACGAAAGAAAACAAGTGTTTTTGAATGCCCTACGCCAGAAAATCAAGCAAAAAACTTGTATCGATAACTTAAGTAGTTATTTTAATAACTGCATAAAGTTTCGTAAACCTGGAATAAATATTCATAGAAACATGGACATTTTAATAAAGAAAATTATGTTTTCGCCTACGATTCTTTGCTATAACTTCATAAATATACAATCGGATTAAAAAAACTTTTGGAGAAATTTAAGATTGAGCTGATTCGAAATTTTAACCAAAATTTGTTAAAAACTGAGCAAGATATAGATATTTAAGCTAGTTCCTTTATACTGCGCAATTTTAAAAAGGTGACTGACAAATTAATCTAAATAGTACTGGAACCATATCACGTCCGGGTCAGTCAAGTACGTTCATTTTATCGGAAAAGTTAGCAGATATGGAAAGCATCTTTATAAAAAAAGTTTCAGGTGAAGTTGAAAATGTTTAGACTTGACCACCACTATATTTTAAGAATAACCTCACTTGCATATTTTCTAATCGCAAAATAAATCTTAATATTATTAACATATTATGGAGAGAACATGTGTCTTGTTTTTCTAAGGTAAATTCTGAGATTAAGCAAGAATGCCAATATTTTAAGGATTTATACCAACGCTATAGCACGAGATGACTTGCATATAATGGCGTTTTATATGAACTTTTGAATTATTTAAAAGTAAAATTTGGCAAATAACTTGAAATTTAAATTAGAAATAACTAAGAATCATCCATTAAAGAGAAAATTTGCCTACAAAAGGAGAATTCAAAAAAAAATTTACTATGCCCTTAACAATGGCGTCATATGGGTAACGGTTAAGGCAAGTTTAGAGGAAAAACAACGTCACACGAAATTTTTTCCTCTCCTATAAACAATGTTATCAATATCAAAACATTTTATCATTCTAACCAAACATTTTTTGTTTGGAAACTAATGGCACATTGACCTAACGGAGTAATATTTTTGGTTAAGATCAGTGAGAATGTGTCAGGTATTATGATCTGCGATTTTCTTTTACGAGGACTGTTTTTTATGTAAGGGCCGTTTTAAAATAAAAACCAAACGAAAGAAAATTTTCAAGTAGAAAATTTTTTTCAGCTTCCACATAAATTTTTCTTTTTTTTTCAGCATAGTTTACAAGTTTGTTTAAACACTTATCATACCTAACAACTAGAATTAAAATACCCTCTTCATACTAACTTGCCTCCTGCTCCGTTTACCAAGTAGTCACGGACGTTTTCACGTATTGGTCATCGCTGTAGTGATTGCATTCAAAATGATATTTCAACTATCGGAAACGATGAAAAATCACTCAGTGCAAGCTTTCAGCTGTAGGGACCATACATTACCTTTGGGAGAAAAAAAATCTATTTTTATTTTCGTTCATTATAAAATATAAGGAACTTAATCAAAACATAATATATAGTTTTTAATCCGCCATGTGCTAACCTCGGACCTTTATTTCAAAAATATTACAAGCATGTAGAACTATATGCTTATAAATGTTCACCTTTTTTTTAGCAACATGGAGCTATTGTTTATTTCTAAAGCACTGTCTCTGTTTCGAATGTTATGATTAACTGAAATTTGAAATTTCTAATATTAGCCACCACTTTTAATTTCAAAAAGTCTCAAGCGAATCATTTTAGATCAATATAAAGGTATTTATATCAATTATATTATATGATACAAACGAGCGTCTTAATTTTGCAAAATAAATACTTAAAATATACCTTTCAATAGCACCGGAATTTTCTTAATTTAAAAAGTTATCTTTTCTAGCAAAGTGAATGCATTAATGCTTTAATTAAGAAACAATTCTACCGCTACATATAAATAATTTAAGAACATGCATTTATAAAAGGTTAGATAGGTAAATGGTTCTCAAAATGTGATTTATCAGAAAACTATTATTGGATTTAACATTATCGAACTCTAGTTCACTATTACTAGATAAAATATTTTGTACAGGCAAAGGATGTACTTGAAATGAAACAATTGTATTCTTAATATTTTTCGAAAAAAGACTTTTTTGAAAACATCGATTTCTACTGATTTCACCTTATGTGGATGAGATGCAATTTAACAAAGGCTGCTTGGGAAATTTTTAAATGTTTTGGATCAAAAGTAGTCTACATATAATGAACAACTATGTATAAATTTATTGCAAATATTTGTTTATACCAAGTGGATATTTCTTTTCTTTAAAGAACCATTTAGCTATTAAAAAGTGCTGAGTATTTCGTTTATTGTTACAGATTCATATGCTGGCTTGTGTGCGCATCAATAAACAACTTGTAATCCCTTGTCAATTTAGAGAACAGATAGCACAAATTTAAATAACTAACTTTAGATCCAAAAGTAAATATTTACAACATTAATATAATATTGCAAACAAAACTTGAAGAAAGAAAATGCTTATGATGCAGTGCTGCCAACTATTATGCTTCTTTTCGCTAAATATTATATAGAATGGTAGGCAATTAAAAACTAAAACTTTCAGAATTTTTGGTAGCTTTGCCAACATTTTATCACCACGGGAGAGCAGAAACAAAATGGTGGTTTCGTACAAAATTTAGAATAATCTACACATAAATAATTTAAATAATTGAAAAATAATTTAAAATAAATTTGCAAAACAAGGAATAATACATATCAATCACTCTAAGAAATTTATCTCAAGAAGCGAAGAAAGTTCACAGTCCTGATAAAGTAACCCTAAGGCTATCTTTTTCTAATAGGAGTATTTTTAAATAAGGATCAATAAAGTAAGAGGTACGAGGCAAAAAGAGGTTAAAAGGACGGATCCTCTTTTTTTTCTTTAAAAACGATAAAATGTCGTAAAATTATTGCTTCATTAGAATATTTCTTCTAGAGGAAAGTAAAGCAAAACACATGGTAATTGAAGTCAGTAAAAAAATTCCTTTTTTTGTTTTCTTGTAAAACGACTAGATTATAAACAAGACTATTAACAATCAAAAAAGAAGAATAAGATTGACTCAACATTGGAAGACTTATTTTGTGAATGATATTTTCCTCATATCAGCTAATATTAATAATCTAAATAGAAAAACTGAAGTCTAACAATTATGCTTGGAAAATTGGCCTTCATTAGTTAATAGTAAAACAAAAATGATGAGAATAAATGCAAAACCCAACAGAAACATAAAAATCAACTCCTAATTTTTTTTTTTTTTTAATTTTGTACCGTCCACAAAAGATGTCTGGCTTGAAGAAAAGGGTTCATGGACAAGGAGAAGGAAGAGGATAATAGGAAGTGTGACAACACATCAACTGGCGACTAACAAAACTATCCTGACATAGAAGTTACTTTAAAGTGATAGTAAAGACATAGTGATTAAAGTGATAGTAAAGGCACGGATACTTTAAAATTAGATTTGTGGGAGCTAGAAAATAAAAAGAAAAAAGTTCATCGGAAAGTAAATTATGTCTTTCTTTTTTTTCCCTAATTGATTAGTGTTAAAAATTAAGATAGTGTATTGAGCTTTTAATTGTGTTCTACTTAATGGCATGGTTAGTTAATCTGAACAGCTAACACTTTTATAGGACATGATTTTTTTTCAATGTGGTGGGACTAAATTGTTAAAATTTTTGGAATCTTATGCCTGTAAAGCGGGAACGAGCATTTTAAGAAATGAAACTGCAGTCGGACTTCTATGTAACGAACTTCCATTCTGCAAACTTCTCTGCTTTGCGATTTTTTTCGAGAAACCAAGAACATTTTGGAAATTTCTTAGTAAAATGGCTTCCAAATAGTGAAGTGAATTTTCTATTTAACGAGCTTTTCGTTGAGATTCACTTTCCCTATTGCCCAAAATATTTCAGAACATTTAAAACTTGTTGGCGCATTTAAGGGGGAAATGACCTTGAATTGTTTTTCGAAGTCACTTAGCCTTTAGAAAAAGCTGCAAAATCTCTTTCTCCTTTTTTTTTTTTTTTTTTTTTTTTTGCATTTCAAACGAAAAACTCAGACAAAATTAACAAATTTTATCAGTAGCGGTTAAACTTAACGTAACATATGTTTAAAATTACTTTCATAATAAATGCAGCTGTAATTTTATACATAAATTTAGCTTTTTTTTAGTTGAAAATGTATGTAGCATGATAGTGTAACACTGGATAATGTTTTGCTCCATTCTTGCTTTCCATGCAGATTTCTTTTATAGTTAAGATTTCTAAAATAAATAGTAGATACTAGTTTACAAGATAAAGGTACACCGAAGAGCCATTACATTATGACCACCCTCCATCTATAACAATGGGCTCGCCCAGGTTTTCATGGTTTCTCGCCCAGAAACAATGTTTTCATGGGGCACATTAGGACCCATAATCCTCATGGAACAATCCCTGACGTCTGTAAACAACTTGAACATAGTTGCAAACCAGGTTCACCCATTCATGGCGACAGTTTTTCCTGCGGGGGATGGTGTTTACCAACAGGATAATGCACCATGTCATAAGGGTCGAATCGTCATGGATTGATTCGAGGAATATTCCAGTGACTTTCAAGTCATGTCTTGGCCCCCAAATTCAACTGACTTTATTCCAATAGAGCATTTGTGGCCCTACTTGGAAAACCAAATTCGTGCTGCCACGCTACCCCCTCGCAATGTGAGGGAATAGCAGGACCAGTTGATGAGCGTTTGGTACCAGATGCCTCAGTCTACCTATCATCACCTTGTGGAATCAATGCCACGGTGGGTGCTAGCAGTTTTAAGGACTAAAGGTGGTCCTACATGCTATTAGCAGGGTGGTCATAATGTAATGGCTCTTCGGTGTATATCAATTGCTATTTTAATTATGTCTAGTGTTTACGAATTTATGACCAGTTTTGCGTTGTTTCAGTATTTCAAAAGGTATTTTTCTATTTAACGAATGTTCTATGTAACGAACTCATTATCGGGGTTAAGCGACTTCGTTATATAGAGGTCCGTTGATTGTATATATGAAATAAAAGAAGAGTTAATAAAGGTCTACACCCTCAGCAACAGGCTCTTCAGAAGAAATCATTCCCTGAGAGTGTTAATACATATAATATGGAATAATCAATCAGGTAGATAGAGAAGCCTTTTTTATTTATTTATTTATTTATTATTATTATTATTANGTTCCATCAAAAAAGTCCTCCACGAAGGCAAATTTCTCCCAATACTCGATCCAAGAGTTTCCTTATCTTCTGAATTGGGTTCAAAATTACAAGGCTACGTGGTCGAAAATTAGTAGTCGTAAACCCAAAAATTGAGTCTGCTGTTCAACGACGATTATAAATATAATGCTTTGTATTTATTAAATAAGATTTACTTATTTATCTTTTATTCAGTACCAAGGTACAAATCCTTGCATCCCAAAACACATCATAGTGTTATACCTTGAGGTACTTTGCAAGGATGTAAAAAATAATTCATTTATCCCTTATAAAATATCGTATTTTTATTTTTAAGTTGTCATAGATTCTTTAAGTGGTAAGCAATAACCGATTGCTTACACATATCTACTATAATCCTTACCCAAGTAAAAATAAAAATCTTTGTTTTCAAACTGTTCCAAGGTTCGGTACAACGCTTCCCCCTATTTGTTTATACAGTTTTAGTTATTTATAGTTTGTTCTAGAAAATCCTAAAGATTAAGAATTATAAAAAAATAGATAAGTAAGAATTTTTAATCTAATTTTTCATATACCATATAGGAAGCTATTATACTAAAAATAAGTTATCAACTCTTGTTTTTAAATTATACTTTAAATAACAAAGTTAAGCTAAAATCATAAAATATGAATAAATCCAAAAAAAATAAAAAAAATTTTTTTTTGGCCATCAGTTGTAAAAGTCATAAGGGATTTCATAATTGCTTGCAACTTGTAATCCTGTAGAAATTAGAAAAACATTTTGAATCTGAACACGTTTTTAGATTAAAGAAAAATACGTGAAATGATAATTAAGATATGTAGCTAATTTCTCTGAATCTGTCTCTAGTCTTGACCGAAACATTTAGTTCATAAAACTGGTACTTAATATTCTAGGAGCAAAAAATTTCATTTCGCAAATACACTGTTTTCGGTCTTCCTGATCGTTTAAAGAAAGTGACAGAATAAACGGTGCATAAGAAAATTCATAATGTTTTGCATGACTAATGACTTTAGATAGCAGATTTCGCACTACTAGTGCGAATCACTATCTAAAGTCATCAGTCAGTAGTCATTGGTAGTTTTACTATTAGTAGTTTTACTATTTATCGTATTATGCTATAATACGATAAATTTAAGGATTTTCATTTTATAAATGTACTTAATAAGGGATTAATTTTTTTTTCTTTCAAAATATTACACGTT